TCCCCCCCCCCCCGTTTCAAATTCTAGCTCTATTTCTGTTCTATTATTATAGTGACTTCTCTCCTCCCACACTTACCTTTATTTTATAGCCTCTAAAACTGTTAAGACAATTAAAGTAGCTTAACCGGAACTTCATTTTTATTTTATTAACAGAATTGTCTCACATTCTGGTACTTATACAGTACTCTTGCAAATGAAGGGCATTAGATTTTTAAGTCAATTATTCATAACCCAACACTGTACCCATTATCTGTTTCTTTCTGGTACAGCGGAGCTATCCTGCCTAGTGCTGGGGGCTGGACCCGATGGTCTTGCAAGGTCCTTTCCAGCCCGTCACAATCTATGAACCTATGGAGTTGGATGCTTTACAAATAAGTTAGTGTACAGTGCTTTTCATCCATAGATCTCAAAACATTTTACAAAACAGAGACAAGGATTATTAGTTACATTTTGCAGCTATAACAGAACACGTAGTAGAGGCAAGAATTTTTGCAGGTGATATCTTTTATTGAACCAATTCACCGGTTAGGAGAGATGTACAGTAGCTTTTGGGTACAGAGCACCCTTTTTCTGGTCACCTGAACCTATGACCTGAAGAAGGGTGCCTTGTACACAAAAGCTTTCAACCATGTAGTTGGCTCCAATGAAAGGCCACAAAACCCCTCATTTCTTCTATATTTCCTGGATCAACCTGCTTGTAAGATCACTCTGGTGCTAGCAGGAATTACATTACTTGCTCAAGGTTTGTCCTGTGGTTATGAAAGCTGACTCAAAATATCTAGGATCTACTCCCAGCTCTGCCCAGCATGGCCCAAGTCAGAGTTACCCTGTGCCTTTTTTTCTGGGCTTAACGTGGTATGAAATCCAGTTAAGTAATGCTCGGGATGTCTTCAGACAGTATGGTAGACAGCACTGAAGAAAACTGAAGAAAACTAGGATTTTACTCCTACAAATCCTGCTTCCTTGTTGAGACTGACAGAAGGAAGGGTCAATTTATATTTTCTAGGCTGAAAGACAGGAAAACTAAACTAGTACAACAAAAAGCAGCTATTTTGATGTTAAAAATGATGAAAGTTGCAGGGACATGGGTATATACAAAGTCACGCAATATTTCTCTGCCGCCTAATCAACTGCTTTCTAGCAGATGCACAGATATTTTAATGTCTCAAGAGCAGTAAGTATCTGGGGAGGCCCAAGGCATATCTGACCGGGTTTGCAGTCTGGGCCAGCAGGGAAAAGCTGGGTGTGACAAGGGCAGATGTCAGCATGGCCAGCAGCCAGGTGGTTTATTCTTTCCCCTGGCCCATAACTGCCAATTCATTAAAGGTTTTAAGGTAGCCACTTAGTATATGAAATTGGTGGCAGCTGTGAGGCTAAGGGAGAGGGTTACCTCATGGCTGCTGGCTGTATAGACACCACCTCTCGTGGCAGTGCCATCTTGCAAAGAGGGACAGGGGAGGCCGAGGAGGGGACTCCTGCCCTGTGCCAAGCTGCATGAGCCTTGGAAACCCTGGCCTCCATTCCAGTGCAGTGATGGGGGAGAAACAGAGGGAGGGTGAAAGCAAGAACACATAGGATTTTATTTCTATTTACATTATGATAGTATCTAAAAAATCCAATCAAGTGTTCACTGAACTAAACATCATAAAGAAAAGTAATAATCCCTGTCCCATAGAGCTTGGATTCAATCACACCAGCTAATAAAAAGGTGCAGTACATGAGCAGAGGAAGTAAGAATACTAGAAAATAAGTTTTGGGTGTGTTTCTGTTTGGCTATGCAGTGTAATTCATTATACGTAAACCATTCACCGTCCTCAGTTTTGGCCTTTTTGACAGGCGAGGGTATCAGTGCCAATACTGCTGAAGTTTGCTCTACTTCAACAAATATATCAAAATCAACCCCTTCATGAGTCAGTTGCCTAATTGGACAAAGGAAAAATAAATCTTTGCAGGAAGAAACATTTTGAGACACTATAGATGTCTTTCTTCAAAACTAAGCTACTGAGGATTCTCAGATGCTTTCATAACTTTTTTTTGGTTAAAGATAAAACACCCCCCCCAAACAAACAGTGGAGTTTACATTTAGCTTACTTTATATTATTAGGAAGCTTTGTAGGAAATCCTTTACAATGTGCAAAAAAGCCCCCAAAACCCCAAAAAACAAAATACATTTTATGGGACTAAACTTGAGGCACCCACGATGGTTCGTGAACAGTAAATCACTAAATCAAGTAATGCTGCAAGCTTTTATTCAGATAAATAGTCACTTACAAAAATCTCACTGATGCAGCTGCTTTGCTGGAAATTTGCAATTTTAACTGTCTGAAAACCACAGTTAAGCCCATAAGGGTGATAACCTGATTATTTACTTTTCAAATTATATTAAGACCTATTCCAATACACAAGGCATGTTAAGGATTTCCAGGGATTCAAAAATCAAGTTAATTGATCCTGTCCATGAAAACTTGTCCCAATGTTTCATCAAGCTGAGTGCAACTCCCACAGCAACTGACCACATGCTAATGCATATTCTAGAATATCAATAAATATGACACAAGTATCAGCAGATGGTCTCAAGAGCTGTATACTATGACCTCTGACATGGAGCTATTCCCTTCATTTTCAGCCAATGGGACATGCACACATTGATAAGAACATGCAGCAAAAGGCTGACTTAAAAACAGCAAAAGGTTTAATTTGCTTTCTTACACCGTTTCAATGCAAGTCTTGGCTGAGAATGCACACGCAGAATTTCAACACGAGTAAGTTAGATGTGGACTTGAAAAATGAGGCATTCCTAGATTTTGATGAGGTTCACTTTATGCAGAAGCTTTGTGAATACTGTAACATGATAGACTTTAACAGGCTGTTGATTAGAACAACATCTAAAATGGAAGAATGGAAAACTTTAGCACCCTAGGAGGCAAAAAGCTCAAAACAATCGCTGTACCAGCATGAGGAACTGTAAAACAAGGTTAACATTTTATTTCCTGCTCCATGCTGTGTTTTACACATGCCTCCAGTTGTGTTTGTTTCTTTGTATACACAACTCTCAAGTGTCCCTGCCTTTTATTTCTTCATTCTGCCATTGTTGTTTAGTCCTTGGCTTTAGGACATTACCCATAAATTAAAAATAGCCACATAAGTTAAACCAGCAGCTGTTCCCTGTCCCCAAACTGGAAAGCATCAGAGCAGATATTCAAAACAAACCAACAAACGAAAAAGAGATGGATGTCCGCTCCGCTTCTTACAACAAATACAGCTCCTGCCTCAGCCTTGCCTATGCTATAAGCATGGGTAAATGTATATGGGCCTTGCAGAATGCCTTGAAATTCCAGGGAAATGGTTTTGAAAAGAAAAAAAAAAGCTGTAATACAAGCATGTAAAGTTGATGCTACAAGCTTGACTTCTATGCTCTTTATAACCAGGTTGCTTCTTCTAAGTACAAGGCAGCTCCTCTAATCCCTGAGCAGGGCCCAAAGAATTCCTGTGGACCAATTCCAGGAAGTGCCAAGCACTTCTGCTGTATGCTAAATCTTTCCCAAGGCAGGCGCCGAGCGGGCTATAAGAATGGAGCTGTGCTGAACAATCTTCAGCCCAAAACATAAAGAGCTATTTTTGCATTACCTGCTCCACAGAAGAGCCAGTGAAAAAATGATCAGTATTACAGAAGACCTGTTAACGAGCTAATGGATTCTTACATACAGAGAACAGCTCAGAAAAAGCAAATTTATCCTGCAGCTTACCTGTGCATACTCTCTCTCAATTGCAGCTCTCTTCTGACTGAATGTCCTGCAAAAAACAGGGAGAAATTTCCATTAGAGTACGAAGTAGCATACCACAAACACGAACATTTATTAAAAAAGGAATCTGATATGACTTTAGTTCAAGTACACCGACAAGCAGCCTTTATAGTCATGGAGAGCTACAGAAAAGAGCAAACCATTTAACAATCAGATATTGGCAGCCCAGCTCCAACTGCAAATAGACTTCATAGTCAGAACCCCATTCCTCAAACCCAGCATGCAGGACTACCAGTGCAAATACTGCTTGAAACAAGGTCTCTTCAGCTTCATACTACTTCTGGGAACAGAATGTGGCCTTCACTCATCCAAATGACTGTATTTACTTGAATCCAAGATGAGGTTCCCCCTCGCAAATCGGCGTGGGGTAGGAGGACCTTGTTTTGAATTTGAGTACCAGACTGTGGTAGGCAGCAGCTCAACTCCAGCTTTTGCCCTTGGCTCGGCATGGGGAGGGGAGCAAGAGGGCAGGGGTCTAGTCCCTCACCTCCTGCTGGTGCTTTCCACACCATAGCATTGGGGGGCGGGGGGTGAATTTAAGACTACTCCCTACCCCCCCTTCAATAAGCAGATTCTAGACACAGAAAATTATAAATTTCTTATAGTTCTACACCTTACCAGCTATAAAATATGCTATACTTTTCCATGTTCAGAATCTAATTACTATGGGGCGATCTTAAAATTCAAATTAGTCTTTGATTGGCGTAAATATAGCACAGCCATTTAAAAAAAAAAAACAAAACAAACTTCTCTCCTGGACTGCAGCTGTATATACTATACATACTAAAGTTAATCCTGCCATAACTCTACCAATTGCTCACAGGATTACAAATACAGCATAGTCCCAGGTGTAGTCAAGGTCAAATATCTGCTAGTTTAGGAGGTATTTGGGGGGGGGGGGGGGG